AATTATTCATGAAATTAATTAATAGTTATTTTTTAAATACATTTTAATTGATAATTAATTAATTAATGGAAAAAAAAAGAAAGAAAGAGGGCTCCCAAAAAAATTAAGAGAATAAGGACAGTCCTCCGCGTCACATGGCTGTCATGTAATTGCGTGAAAGTCATAAAAACAATATTTTGATTGGAGGGTCACATCAAACCCATCACCTTCAGGCACCTCATGGGATTAAAATATTTAAATGGTGACAACAAAGCTTTGGTGAGAATATGGATGGGATCATCGACAGCTTTAAGAGTGGTTGTTTGTTGGGTCTCACTATATCAATCACCACATCTTTTAAACACGTGGAATTTATTTCATATTAAAATAAAAATGAGTTCAAATAGTATTTTTATTCACAAACTTTATTTATTCTATAGGGACCATCGAAACGACCTTTCACGTGACAGAAGTAGAGAAGTCGGAAAGAGTTGAGACATCGTCGCTCCTCACTTCTGCAACCCAATGAATAGAACCTCAGAACATCAATGTAAGCTCGGACTTTAACAAAGGCCAAGTGAAGGTATATGAAGCTACATGTAACCGCCTGCTAATTGTTACCTTGAGTATCACGTCATGAATCACGTAATCGCAGAAAGTGATAAATGAGTGAGGCCCATAAGTCAATGCTTATAAATATATAGATAAACACTAAATGCAGGTATACAAATCTAATTGTTTGTCTCGAGAGCGAATACCTTAGCTCATTATTGAGTAGAGTGTTAGAGCTTTTTCTATTCATTTTGAATGTTCCACAAATAGTCCAGCAAGTTCAAACGTATTCATAAAAGGATTGAAATCCGATTAGAACAATTTCAATTTTCGAGTTTAGTTTGAGACTGTAGTAACTTCTTAAATAATTGCTTTCAATTGTACTTTTTAAAAATCAAAGGATAATATAAAAATAAATTAGGTTGGTTGAATCACTATTTTGTTTCTAAATTTTCTATTCTTACCTCGCTAAAAATAAATGGGAAGTTTTAACCACATTTTAAAAAGTTTCTCTAAGATTAATTTCTTAAAAAAAAAAACGAAAATGAAAGTATTGTCAAATGAAGTCTTAGTGTTTGGTAAATTGTAGTTTTAAAAATGAAAAATCATGTGCAATTGAGATTTAGCTATTGTGCACCATCAATTTTTTATAAAATAATGATTTAAATTTTTATATCATTTAAATTACAAATTATATTTTATTTATTTTAAATTATGTGGTAAAAGATTAAGAAAAGCGATTGTTATAACAAAATTGTGTCGGGAAAATGTTATAAAAGTTGTGTGAAACAAAATGTTAAAAAAAAAAAACATTAAATTAGAGAGTAGAAGCAACCAATTAATTATTTAAAAAAATGTGTGAGATAGATATAAAATAATAATTCTAAAAATGGCAATTAGGGGTATAAATTATAACGGGGGACGGACATGAAAGAAAGTATATTATATAGTTGAGCCCATAAAGAAAACACATTATCTCCATGGGGCAAATATGATTAACTTTTTGTGAAAATATAAAACACATAAAGGAAATGCATTATCCCCTCTATTTTCACCCATTAAAAACATGTGTTTGGTGAAATAGTTCTCATCTTTTTAAATTAAGGTTTAGAGGGTGAATTCTCACACATTAAAAATTGGGACAATTTTTAATTTATTTGCCAATATGGGTATTTTTACTTATTTTTTAATGATGAAAAAAATGTGATGAAAATGGTAAAATAAAAGGTCATAAAGGTTATACCATTTTGTTCTTTAAATGGTAAAATAATGTAGTTCTTAAAAATAACTAAAAAAAACCGTGGTAAATTGGTAAAAATTACCCAGATAAACAATTAAAAAGAAAAAAAAAAGAGTTTTCAAGCATCTTCGATTCCAATGAAAAAGGAAAAATTGGACTATTAGATGATTTTAAAAACGTGAAATCGTGTCTCTAAGTATTTCTATAGACAGAGACTCCATTCTATTGGTAAATATTTTTTAGAATATGGAGTGTAAAATGACAAATATCTATGAAGAGAAAATGTTCAATTTTGTCCAAGTACCTCAAATTATCACTCTATTTATTATTTTTTCTACTTTTTCTAAGCCCATATAACTCTAAGGAGTTGTTGATTTTTTTTTTCTATCAATTGGGATCCTCCCTTCACCGCAACAATCAATATCATCTCGACAATCAATATCATCTCGACAAATCATAGAACATATTACAATATTCAGCACACTGAATACATTATCTTCCAAACAACCTTATTTTTAAATATATTATTAAGACATATAATATTAATAAAAAAAAATCCATCTTTGTTGGCTCTCAGATCATTGCATAAGAAAGACAAGGACCTATATATTTAATTATCTTTCAATTTAGATAATAAAACTAGGTGAACCTGGAAGAAAATTGAGTCTAAATTAGGGAATGATGCATCCAACCATCCTTTTAGGCCACTTTCAGTCGATATTTCCTAATTATTTCTTTTTAAATAAACAAATCATATGAAAATATTTAGGTTAATTAGGTAATGACTAGTGATGGCATATCTTTATTTACCATAGTTGAAAAATAGTACAAGACATGTCCTCATCACTCGAAGCTTTTAGGTATTTTCCTTCTTAAAATTGATTTATCAAATATGCTCTCATAAATGATTTTTTTTTATAATAATAATAAAAAGAGATGAACTTGTAAATAGTAATTTTAAGATTTCAAGGGTATAATGACATTAACTTTTTTAATTTTTAACTTGTTGCCCAAATCACAAACTTTGTTGTGTGATTCAAAATCTCATTATCTTTTTAATATTGTAATAAGTTCTTTCTCCATCAAAATGAGTATTATTCGATGGTAAATAATACATACTCTTTTTTATGTTGAAAGTTCAAATATATGTCATATTTGTTGTACTAAAAAAAACCCTTTCACCGTCATCTTTGTCGACAACAATTCTAAACTTTTGGAAACTAGTCACTTAGATGGTCTTGGGTGATTATGCTCCAAGTATATAAAATGCTAACGAGATGGATGTTTGTTGTTCCGACCATTTTTAAAATTTTGATCGCGATTAGGATGAGGATAATAAATCTCAAAATCACTCTCTAACTGCCTTCTAGACTGACTTGTAGCAAGTTCACAAAGTTAAAGAATTTTCATTATTCACTGAAAATCTACCGAGTGCTACTGAAAGCCTTTTTTTAGGTCGGGGGTGTAAGCCCCGAAAGCCTTTGGTACTTCGGTAGGGCGAGCTGCATAAAGAATTTTCATTATTCACTGAAAATCTACCGAGTAGTGAGAAGAACAAGTATCCGAAGTACATGAAGCTGAAACAGGCAATAATTACATTCAAGAATCACAATATTCCATGTATATATATAGATGATCATCTAATGGATAAATACAACCCCTCACTTGTACAGGATAAAAGAGGAGCTCAAAAGGAGAGAACAGACACTGCAGTGTGTTAATACTTTCTAAAGGTAAGATTTAGACGCCCGGGACGAAGACCGGTATGATCAAGCAAAAACTTAGGTGTCGAATTCGGTATGATTGAAGATACTCCATGAAATACATGCCTAGAATCTCCACCAAATATCAGAACATCACCTGATTCCAATATAACCTTCTCTGCTTTATCTACATCTCTTCGATCTCCATACAAGAATTCTGCCGAATCGCCTAATGATAACGAAACAACAGGTAGTCCGCTAACGAGACTCTCTTTGCTTTCATCGCGATCCTGCATGAATTGTAATACAACATCACTCATGGATTTGGAAATGTAATAACATATAGAGATGAAACTAACATTATGCTCGAAAAGCAAAGCACCAACCTGATGCAGACCCAGTCTTCCGCTCGTTGTATAGAAGTTCACAATGCAGATATCAGGAGACATTGATGGAAGTATGCTTTCTACGTTACCCGTATTGCATTTGTTCTTGATCAGGGCATGTGCATCTTTAAGTGCTTCTGTAACTAGAATTGCGAATTTAGGAGGTATTTCTGGTGGTTTATCGCCATCGACTGCCCGCTTATCTCCATATTTCCTTGTTTGAGGATCCCAGTCCAAACCAAGACACATCATCTGAAGCCTAAGTTTTGCACCATCTTTATAACCAGGCCTGTAAAATCCCCCTGGGCCAACTCCAAGCTCTTGACAAGTTTTCACTATATTGACCTACAACAACAATAATGGATTCTCAGATAACTAACTCTACAAACTTCCAAATGGGAAAACAGATCAGATTAAGCAATGTAAACGCGGCATAGAATAGGAAGACCAACAAAGAGTTGAAACTACAGAGCACCTCTTACCAATAGATAAAATTGGAAATCTTATAACTACTGGAAGTTAAGTTGTTCGAGTTAGTAAAGACAGGCTAATGTCTATTACCCCAACATGAATTTAAATAGCATCAAAATGATCATGGGACCTCTTGTTCACATCTATAAGTTCATATAATTATTAACACTTTGAGTAAAAAAGTACCTGTTCATGTAGAGTAATGTAATTCTTCAGTAAAACCATTCCAGGTCTCAGCACTCTATAATTACTAGCTTCAGCAACATGCTCCATTACTTTCACAGTGTCCCTACCTTTAAATTGCCAATGAGCTCCGGGTTTCGCATTGCCTCTTCTTTCATGGGGACAGATATCGAATGGTTCAAAGGGATGCAAATTGTCCATGACTAGAGAATTTTTGGAACCGATATCCATAGACTGACATTTCTGGACATAAAACGGTTCGTTTTTCTTCCCAAATTGATTAGGCTGAGATGATTCATCCAGCTGACTGTTGTTGTTCAGCAATGAGAACCCCTCCACTTGAAATGAACTTGTATTATTTGATCTCTGGAATCCTAAATCTACCCGATTTCTTCTTTTAGTATTTTGTCTAGACACTGGTTGAAACTCATCCCTGCCTTTAACTTGCCAATGAGCTCCGGGTTTTGCATTACTTCTTCTCTCGTAGGGACGAATATCGAATTGTTCAAAGGGATGCAAATTGTCCGTTACTAGAGAATTTTTGTAATCGATATCCATATACTGGCATTTCTGGATGCAAAACGGTTCATTTTTCTTCCCAAATTGTTTAGGCAGAGATGATTCATTCTGCTGACTGTTGTTGTTCAACAATGGCGACCCCTCCACTTGAAATGAGCTTGTATTAATTGATCTTTCCAACCCTAAATCCATCCGGCTTCTTGTTTTATTATTTTGTCTAGAAACTGGTTGAAACTTATCATCATGGTAAGAATTTGGCACATTTGCAGGAGTCCTTTTTCGCTCTCTTCCCAACTCAAAATCATCGCTTTTATTTACAGACCACGGAGATGAAGATTCCTCTTCATATCTCTTGCGATTTAGATACACAGGAATTTCTCCCACCATTACCATATCTGAACTATGACCTCTATTATGCGAATTTTCTGTTAGTGCTCCATTCTGTAAAGATTATAAGAGCAATTAGACATTTAACAGCCTCCAAACACAGTTATCTACGCAATTGAAAGAAAACAAAGAGACCAACAATCTCACTCTTCCTCAATTACTAACAGAACCCTTCTGAATAACATTCATGCAACGAAGTTAATTCTAAGCCTATAATGACTGGTTATTTCCATTATCCAATAGAACACTCCAAAGGAAAAACGAAACTCACATGGCTGATTGCGGAAGCGACAATCGAATCCATCCGCCGAAATTGAAGCAATCGAGAACTGCGTCCGCCGGGAAATCGCGACGAGGCGAATAGAAGTCGATGAAGTTGATTCGACAACGGCGAAATCGGGACTGTACGGATGATCGACATTGGGAATTTGGATGGTGCAGAGATATTTATAGGTTTGAGAATTTGAGGATGAATCTAAGAGTCGGAAAAGGAGAAGGAAAGGGAACCGTCGGAGGAGAATCGGAATGACATGGGAAGTTATTTCTCGGCTTAAACCGCAAGTTTCCGTGTTGGCCGAGGAGATTGCACCGGGAAGCGGAAGGAGTAACGATTTCCGCCACTTTCAAAGCTGTGACTGTGGCCTGGCCATCTCCGGCTGTGATACGGAAAATTTCTAGTCCTACGTGTAAAATATCTTATTATTATATAAATAAAAAATATATATTTTTTTAATGTAGTGTCCACATTAAAAATKTTGATGTCGATGTAAATGTCGAGATCCCGATTTTATGGATAAAAAACAATATATTAAAATATTTACCAAATAAAATCTAATTATAATACTGATTACATGATACAAAACAATGAGTTAACTATTTGAAATAAAATAACAAACAAAATGAAAATATTGAAATAAAATAAACAAACATTTTTTCTTATTGTTCAAATACAAATTTTATTAGTTTGAAGGAAGAGAAGAAACCGATATCACATTCAAATGAGAGGGATCCTGATACTATGAAAGCATGGTTAAGAAAAGACTTAAAAGTGCACATTCATGTTTGGTAACTCGAACTCAAAGTTAAGCGTGCTTGACTGAGAGCAATATTCAATTGAGTGACCTTCTAATTGTTTTACTAGTAAGCATGTTGCACAGCCAGGACGCATCGGATGTAGGAGAATGCTAGTTCAAATGGTTGAAGTATATATCCCGACCAAAAACTGGTGGATTTGAATGAAATATATATGTTGTAATGAAAAAAAAAAGAAAATTAAGATATCAAAAATAAAGAAAAGTTAAATAACAATGAAAAAAGAAAATGAAGAAATTTAGTATTAAGGAAGAAAAATTCCAGAAGCGAGAATGAAGAAGGATAGAAGAATATATATATATATATATATATATATATATATATATATATAATAAATAATTACATATAATTAATAGGAGAGAAAATGTACTATTAAACTATGAGAGAGAATAGTGCGATGCAGTTTCTAAATATACTAACTAGAAAATATATATATTTTTATTTATATAATAACAAAGATATTATTATGTTAAAGCGAGCAGCTCAACGGTAATTGGCACATACCTCTAATCAGGAGGTTGTAAGTTTGAATTCTTGAGAAAGTTCCACCAATTTTTCTTCACCATTATTCATCGTTCCCTACATAAATTTAAGTCCTTTTTTCTTTTCTTTTTTTTATAAAAAATTTAAGTCTATTTTTTTACTTAAAAGAACATCTATAATGTTTTTTCATCACCATTATTTGTTCCCCTGCATAAATTTAAGTCTTTTTTCTTTTCTTTTTTCTTATAAGAAAATCCATTTTTTACTTAAAAAACATCTATAATGTTTTCTTATTAATCTAAAGGTACTGGAYGGGTCGCATCTGAACTACATTTTAAACCTAATCCAATGACTCAAGCTATAAATTTATTCAACTCAAATAAATCTTATTAAATAATAAACACAACCCAAATCAACCATGAAATATTTGAGTTTGGTTGATTTGGATTATTTGAATCACTCGTTCAACATATCGTATAACAAAAGAAAGTAAATATTAAACATTTATTTGTATATTTTCTAAAGTTGAATCAAGATCCGTAAGTACATGTTGAAAAACTACACTAAAAAAACCTTAAAACGTTATTTGAAAAAGTAGGTTGATTAATAAATAATACATAAAGAATTATTGAAGGGAGTGAAATAAAATATGAATGGAGTAAAATTAAAATAAATATATTTCTATACAATTTTATTGTAAGGATAATAAATAATTTTAAAAATAATAATAAATTTGGGTTGGTTTTGTTCAACTCAAACTTATTTTAGGTGAACCCTTGAACAAGCCCAAACCCATAGAGTTTTCATTTATTCGGACCTAACTCAACTCAAGCTGTATGGGTTGGATTGGTCGGTTTTTTCGGGTCATCATCACCATGTTATGTTTGGATCGATTTTTTTTTGGGTAATTTCCCTATTTAAATTCACTGGCAAGATTATTTTAAGGAAATCGAAAACATCAACGATGATGGAACATAAACTCAGAGACATTAGTGAATTTGCTTTTTGTTGTGGAATTTCGTTTGTTCAAGTTCAAAGAGAGGCAAACTCTATAGCACATAGATTAGCCTCTAAAACTATTAGTTCAAATGCTAATACGCTTTGGATTTCTCAAATCTTAACTTGGCTCTCTTGTGCTGCGTGAAAGGAATTTGATTTTTGTGGCTATTCAAAATCGTTACTATTCGTGAAGCTTATTTTATTAAAAAAAAAAACTATTTAGAGGATGTTTCGACAGTGAATTGGATTTAGGGTGTGTTTTATTTCCTAAGCTCAATCCACATATGATGAGGAGTTATCAAACTTCGAGTTTAATCGAGAAATCAACAAGCTTGAATTGTAGTCCACTATTTAAATAACCACCATATAATTTTTTTAAACTCAAACTTGAACCTTAAAAGCTTAAGGCGTCCAACTCATGTCAGAAACATCTACTTAAGGTATAAGTAACTTTATCTTTCACCTTCTCATTTGAATTGTAATATTTGTTTCCTCAAAACGGCTCCACCTAGCCACAAAATCAAATAATTAAAAAAAGGTCAACACAATATTCTTTTTAAAAAAAGGTCAAGCTTTTAAATAGGCCTTTTGGAAAGTGAAAACACAGACACAGATAGTCAACCGAATAATTGTTAAAGCCCAACTTGAAAGGAAAAAAATAACTAGCCCAAAGAAAAGCCCTAGAAGTCATTTTTCTGCAAATATTATAGGTGCATATTTTATTTATAGAAGAAAACAAATTCTCGATTAACCACAACAATAAAAAAAAAAAAAATCTTCTCCAACTCGGAAAAAAACACATAGTTTTAGCCCGACGAATATAGAGGTGAGAATTGAATCTTCAACCTTAGAAAAAATATAGGTACTTTAGAATCCATTTGGTAATGTTTTCATTTGTTTTTTGTTTCTAATTTTTTAAAAACATAAGTATTTAATAACCATTCTTGTTTCTCGACTCTTATTTTTAAGAAACATTGTTAAAATTGAATAGAAATTTTAGAAACAACAAAATCAAATCAAGTCCTTTTTTGCAAACAACATAAATAAAACATTAGTTTATCATTATTGGCTCATAAAATATAAAGTAAATATTAAAAATTAAATATAACTTCAAAATTGTGAATATTTAATTAAAAATTAATTTCGCCATAAAACATTTATTTTTTACTTAAAATTGTAGATAAAGAAAAACACGAAATAATTATCAAATATGTTTACGTTCTTTAATTAAAAAGTAAAGAACCAGAAACAAAAATATAATTCTATCTTTTTTTTATTAAAAAAGAAGAAAAGGTAAAACAAAAAATGAGAAACAATGTTACTACTAAATTGTATTTAGATTGACTTTGAAAAATTTCTTTTTAACATGGAATGACACGAGATGCTTGAATATTTGTTAGCATTAGGAATGATAGACTTGTCCAAGACAAGCAATAAATATTTGTAACATTAACACAAAAGGCTAAGAGCAAGAAAATGATGATGTTTTTTTTATTAATATTTTTTAGTATAATGTCATTTAATGCTTTTTCTTTTTCTTTTTTTTTTTTAAAAAAATCCTTCTTCCTCTTTTTTTAAGGTTTTCGAATTTTGTGCCTACATAAATCTCCAAATCAAAAGGCATGATCCTTTTTTTCTTCTAGGGATCCATTCTATATAAAACGAAGTTTTTTTTAAGGCTAAATTATCATTTTTGTTTGGTTTCTTTCAATTTTCTTATTACCAAATGCTAATCATTTGTTTTCAACAGTCACCACCATTTTCCTACCATGTTTAAAATAATATATCAAAATGGATTTTGTGAAATGCTGAAAAAGTAAAACAAATACTTTTAAAAACTACCAAAATTAAAATAGCATAAATACGTGGAGAGACCAACATAGTATTTTAAAGAATTACTGTGCCAATTGAAAGTGTTTTGTTAAATTTTTTCAATAATCAAAAGTGGTTTGAGAAATTCTAAAATAGATAAATATAACTTAAATACTTTTCCAAGAAACATTTAATTTTGTTCCCGAAAACACTTATATAATAAGTGTTTATTTGAGTTCATTTAAGATTTGATTTAATATGTGTTTGAGTTTATTTTTTGATAATAACATTTTAAATAATAAAAATTTAGAGCATGTTTAATATATTTATTTCAAATTACTAAAAACGCTTTTTAAAAGATATAAAGTAAATTGGTAATAAATAAATATTTCTTTCAAAAAAATTAAATTAGTTAAAAAAAATATATATATATATTAAAATTTATATAATTATCTAAAAAGTGGGTTCGAAGTGGTTGATACTTTTAAATACTTCCATTAAAGGGTTTAAACTAAAATATGTGCAAAAACTTAATCTTGAATATTGAATATAAGTAATTTTAGTGTTCAAAGAATAAGTCCATGGAACTCTTTGGACTTTCGAAATTCGAACTATTAACAAAGTTCCAAAAATGTCAAAAGCAAAAAAGTATAAACAGAATTTTTTTGTATTAAAAAAAAAAGAAAGAAGAAGAATTTTTCTTTACCTTGTAGCTTTCAAAATAAATGTGGATTAATACTTTTTACTCTTTATTTTTTTATATACATTTTTTAGTATTAGTTATGGCAAAATAAATGTAATTTTGACTAAATATAAGTTTTTTTTAAAAAGTAATTCTCGATTTATTCTTTAATCTTTTTAAAGTTCTATTTTTATCTCTAGTGTTAGAGAATGTTCCATTTTGATCCTTTTATAATTTTTTTAATTGGTTGATAAAAAGTTGATGTACGATTAAATTATTGTTTTATTAACATATTTAGACAAATAAACAACATAACACGGATGCTATTTGACATATGCAACAAAACTCTCTCCATCAACGAAAGTCATCAAGCTAACCAAAATTCATCTATGACATGTTCAAGTGACGCTCAAGTAACTTTTTATTAACAATTTTTTTTAATAGAAAGGTTTAATTGAAAACATTTAATAAAAACCAAAAAAAGTAGAAACTATTTGATATATTTAGTCTATAATTTTTGCAAGATTTTCAAATAATCAAGTTTATGTCTTCAATCCTGAAATGTTAAAAATATATAAGGGCCAATC